TAAACCGTCGACTGATATCGAAGCATTTGAATGCTAATTCCGTCTTATCAATCTAATTTTTGTCATCAAGATTTTTTTCGAAACGTTATCGAAAACATGAGCGCTCATGAAAGTCCTTCGGTTGACATTTATCCAGTTTCGCGGCGCATACACCTTAAACTAAAGGAGTAACGGTACAAGTACCGTTATAGAGTACGAACGTCTGACTTTAACATAGGCATATTTTAGGCTGTATAAGTGGCCATTATCAAATTAGCTGAGACTTTGCAAGCCACTTTCAAACAATAATTTTAGGTAAGACTTGATAATTTTTGCAGTGAGCGGTGATATTAACACTGGTCAATCGAATGGCTGCTGGCCTTTCACATGTTTTTATTTATCTACATCGTGAGCGAAGTGTTTGTCTGCTATACTTAACGACACCTGGCGATCGGTATTAGAATCGGTCGTAGATACTCTTCGTTTCGTGCCGGAAAGATCCCGCGATTTGACGGCTTTTATACCGAAAAGAAACACAATAGAAACATATCGTCTTCAAAACGACGGCCAAGTCACAACGGTTTTTACACATACGTTTACTGTTTAGTGCAGTGCAGAATACATTAGTTCCTTGACTATGGTAATAGTCTGAGTATGATTCCATCTTGAGAATACTACGTCGTTATTTTAGTGGACCTGGTTCAATACGTTTCTCAACAAAGCTATTCCGAGCCTTGATCTACGTTCGCTGGAAATGGAGTGTTATGTATAAGGCGCTTGTTTATTATCCTCGCAGGTAAAATAGTATAACAATCAGTCAGCTGAAGCTTCAGATGGAGCGGGTTGGTAACGATCTGGCAGAGTTCAATTTGCTCAACATGAGAGATTTTTTGAAGGGAATTTTATCGTTATGTTGCTTGTTCGATGTGATTTACATTCCCTCGTTGGAGTCTTGAGAGACTGCTATTGCTGTTATGTCGACGGAGGGTTCAGGCTTAGCGTCAGATACGATTTCAGGATCTGATTTCATTGTAGAAATCTTCTACGAGCCATCCCAAAAATAGCTGCCCTCAATGAGGTCCCCAAGGACAAGGTGTCGTGAATATTCACATGAATGAAGTCGCAAGATTTTTGTCGATTTTTTCGTTTCATTTCGTCTTTTTTCTCCTCTTTGTAGTTACTGCACTTTCATACTATTATGATGTAACAACAAGTAGTAGTAGTAGTAGTAGTAGTAGTATCAAGCAACAAGCGGCTTCCCTTCTTCGAAAATCATAGCATCGTACTACATTAAATTGTTCCTTCTGAATTTGTTCCGACACTGATTGATTAAGATTTTATTTACATTAAACTGGCCATTACTAAAAAATTATATGCTTAACGTTTCTACGTGGAGGTAATTTCGGTATTTTTTTTTTATTGTCGAATGAATTCGATACATACGACGAAGATTGAGTCCTCAAATATTGGGATGACTGTAAGAGACATTGATGCTAAAAATTGGAGAAAAAAAAAGAAAACAATAGTGAATTTGGACAATTTGCTATAATAGAAAACACTTTAAAATCACTCTTTTACTACAATTGGAAAAATTAACAATTCATTAGAAAAATACATGATACAATATCTACAGTAGTTTGAATATGGCTAAAGAGTAATGTTTACTATTTAAATGGGCGGGTCTGCTCTTCGACTCTCGTACAAGCACTCGAATTCGACTACAAAAAAAAACTACGGTACTTAACCTTTTTCGAGACATTTTATGATCCTGGTTCATTTTCACGTACGAGAGAGGATGGATTGGCATCTAACGAACTTAAGCTTACCACATTTTCGCTTTATCTATGCAACACAAATACTTCATTAGAATTGTATCGTAAAGTATAACTATGTGACAGGAAACGGGTTTGGTCCACTGTAGGGCGGTCATTTAGTGTGCCGCTGTGAGTAATTACATCAAAGTGCTAATTCATTGGCAGAAGTCGGCCTTGTCATGACGGTCGTCAACTGGCTCCATTTACTCTCTTTTATACGTTCGGTGATCGAGTAATAACTATAATAGCTTAGCAATGACCACTGCGCCTGCGTCTCGGCTGAGTAACACCCGGACCAGGATTTCCACTAAGTATGCCATTTATTTCTTGGCCATGATCATATGTACAGTATGCGGTTTGGCAGCCATCGCTCTGCCAGGAAAATGTCTGGTGCCAGTTGACCGTGTCGCGGAAATTAGCGCAGATATTAGCGGCCACTATCTTGAACCTTACGGAAGCCAAACATCGTCGAAAAAGGCACTTATGCTTAGTTCATATAATAGCACGGTGACGACAGGCTAACGGGGACCAGATATCTGACAAAGGAACAAAATTAAGCGAAGCTACAACTGTCGGCCACATGGAGCGAGCCGAGTAAGCACAAAGCAAAGGAAAATTAAATGAATTTACTTTTTATTGAGTGTTTATATATTCTATGTATAGACGTACTATATGCCTAACGAAATTTGCCTATCCGGGTAATGCTATGCAAAGAAGAGTATATACGATGTGGTGTTGAGCTTGGTTCCTCTTTTTCTTCGTTACTCTTCTCGTAGAGGCAAACACTTGTAGATCTCACAAAAACAAATCGTTCATAATGTCAAAACGTTTTTGGTCGCAGGTTGGGGAATCCACGAATGTATTATCTGATCCAACAAGTACATATTCTTGAATCGTAAAATCCGTTGTCATCTGTTAGTGGAAAGATCCTTCAATGTTCTGCATATACTTTCGAACAAGCCTCACAGAAATAGTAAGCAGTTTTTCTAGTTCGCAAGGGCAAAGACAGCAGTAGGTAGCTAGACAACCCGTTCACGATTTCTTGTGTTTGCTTTGAACATAGGCTCTCGACTCATATTATACAGTTCTGGTCGATACCGTCCTTCAGGCAGAGCTTAGCAGAAAGAAACAACAATATCGACTGTAAAAAAGGTAACCCTCATGCGTGTACTAGATAGACTTTAAGCCGAAAAGGGAAAAGATTTGATTGATCTACATACATGGCATACTTACCAATAACGCCAGTTATGTTGCTCATAAGTTCCCTTAGACTGTAGAGAAAGCTATTCGTTTGCATTGTACTCATGGCTAAGTAATTGTTAATAAAATCTCCTCTACTGGTGAGTCGTTTTAATGACACGCAATATAGTTTATACAGATACGCAACAGAGTATGCCAATATATTATCACTAATATAGTGATAATATTACTAGCCCAAATTGTAACGAAGCCAATTGCACATCTTTTGCCCACCTGACCTTATCTTTTCGATTATGGATCTATTATTATTCCATTATGGACTCCTAGCAGGTGACCGGTTGCCAATTCAAGATGGATCATTTCTCAGCCTAATACTTTTCCCCCTAAAAGTAAAGGCCTCTACTCTGACTAAATCACTTGGCCAAATGCTAGCGTATTTAAGACATTCTTATGCATAATCTAATTTGTTTGGAATCAACCACCTGAATTACTGGACTAAGAAAGATGTCTGCCTCTACGACGCTTCTAGTAGGCTTCTTTTCTTTAGCAGTTTTTTCCTCTTAGCTGCTTAATTTGCGGTGACGCAAACTGGCAAACCTCTATGGATTTTGTTATCGATGCAGATAATGTAATGGCAGCCTGCCAGCGGATAGGTCGTTTTTAAGCGAATACTGCGTACCTTTTTCTCGAGCTATCCAAATGCTCACAAAGCTTCATCGCTCAAAAGCATTGTCTCAACAATGTGTTTTTTAGCGTGGTTTTGTTTATTGTTTGTTTACAAGTACGAATAAATTGCACCTTATTCCCAGAAATAGAATGAATAAATTGTTTTTCTTCACGATAAGCTTTCCCGCATATCATTAATTAGCAATATCTATTTCTATGAGTGAAGCTGATTGTGTACGACCTTCTGTATCGAAACGTATCTTTGTTTCTTTTTTGTGGTTGTTTCTACCACTTTTTCCAGATAGCCTAGTTATCCAGGCTATCAGGGCTTAAGAAAAACTCACAACAACTAAAGGCTCTAGCCAATATTGAAAGGAAACTAGCTAATTTATCCTCAAAGTTCCACTTTTGCATTTAGCGATGCTGAATAGATTATACCTGCACCACTTTCATAACTATTCAAAGGGATTATTCCATTCGAGATCTGTTCCTATTTCGTTTACGACTCAGAAAAAAATATACGGCACAAGGATAAACGATGCGTTCAGATGTTTTCTGAAGAATTCTTGCCTAGTATATGATGCTTTCGCATGTTTACGAGTAAAAAACACTTTAATGAAATGCATGAGGAACTATAACTCCTTAACAAGTAATATCAGAGCTTCTTTTAGTAGAGGGTACAACTTACAACAAACCAAGCATCGTAACCGCTATAGGAGAGAGAAGTCATTTACATGGGAAATAATGTTCTTGCAGTAGTAATTAATAGAATTCTCACATTTCTCCTTGTTGATCTTCGTATGGTCAAAGAGGCCACACAAAATTTCCAAAACCGCTAACCCGGCTTTGGGATGAACCTTACAGATTCCAGTTACTCTAAAATAAAGCAATCCAATATCTATTCTTACTCACCCAACAAAGGCAACCGATGAAGTACAAGACTATATATACAGTCATATTACAATCAAGAAGATGCGGCCTGTTATCTCAGTAATGACATACGCAAGTTGTCGTTAACACATTTTTGCTTGTAGCTTCAGTAACTTGTTTGTCCTCTGTTCTGTTTCATAATGCGACTTGTTATTTCGTATGATTAGAAAGTTACCGTTTTCAGAAACTGTACAAGTTACCTACCAGCATAATCCGTTATTAAAATGAGATGTCCAATTACATCATGCGGCACATCACAAATAGCAAAACAACCGGCAATTGAATGACACTAACTTAAACAGTAAAGGGCGCGCCACTTTGGTTTTGCGTCTGACTTCGCATTAATATAATAACAAATTACTATTTTCCATATTTTTCGATTTATTGCTAAGTAATCATGTCGTCAAGCCGTCTATCACCGCAGAATGCTCATAACATCTAGGAGGTCCGTCTAAGCCCTTCTTCTTCTTCTGGCTGAACTCTGGAATTCGTTTGCTGCGAACAAGAGTAGACCGTAGTAATGTAAAGGGTCCTGCAAATAGCCTCCGACCACAGTATGTGACCAGAACCGTTTAGCGTAAAAGGTTCTCACAGACCCTAACCTATACTCTAGCCGGCCTCTAGAGGTCGCTTATCGTGTTTAACAAGCGCAGGGTTATAGCAGGGTTAGCTTTGACATTGGTAGATGGCGTGCCGATACGTATCGACGTGATATGATGATCGTAGATTAGACGGTGGTGGTAGTAGTTGTGATCTAGCAGTGTTCATGCCTTTTACGCCAGCAGCAGCACGATCCAACAATTCTGAGAGTGACGGAGACAACGCTGCACGCTAGCAGGAATAGAAAACCAGTCTGCTTATCCACACCAACACTGGCCTGACCATCACCACTTCGCCATTTCATTGGGCCTTTCATCGGACCTTCCACTTACTCTACTCTAACGGCATTCACGCTGTTGTCTATTTCCTACAAAGCAGCATCAGCAGCTTCATCTCAGATTTGCCTTCCTCGATTAGACCGCCGCGCTTGCTTTGTCTACATTTGTCGTTTGCCAGCGCAAAGTCCCTGCAAAGCCACCGGAGCCAGGCTGCTCTTCCACATCGGGCATTCATCAGACTTCATTCGTACCCCTTGTCGGTCTTCACCATCTTTATTTGACTAGCCCTTTCTTTTCATCTAGAGCCGCGTAGCACCAGCAGCATACCTTCGCGTCCCCTAACCTATACGTGTCATCTGGTGCCTGTACGGGAGCAGGAAGCAAGAAGGATCGATATTGCTGCTTGATCTCGTGAACTAGAACGGGCTGAAGGAGCGTGAGGTGAGGAAAAATACGCCTTTCAGTACAAATGGTGCTGAACCATATACAGCATTGATGTGTGCTGCTATAGAAAAGTGAGAGAGCTGCGTTAAGATTGAACCGAGGGGGAAGGGTCTCCCTTATAAAGATCGCATTTAGATTTAATAAGTAAGAACACTTACAGAATTTCCATTAGCTTCTACTAATGACGTCCTCTATCGCAGAAATGAAAGCGTCCTTTGGTTATGTCGCTGCTAACACGACAAAGGCATGCGTGCATCATCTAAACAAACTCTAATGAAAGCCCTCGCTGCCCAGCCTGAAGCCTCGTCCAGCGTGAAGAGCGCAAACAGTTCATTCATCCGAAGCTAAACATTGTAAGCACCGGCAGCTTATCTAATCTACCGAATCAGAAGATTGTTCGCAATGGTTGCAATTAAGTGAAGGGACCATGGCTTTTTGCAGGAAGTAATATTTTAAGACGTTGTCAACTATGGGGTCATCGTTAAAGCATTAAAACGAATCTAGATGTCTGTCATTGCTTACCTCTCACTGATCCCAGCATATCCAGTAAATATAGACCTAATATGTTAAGTGTACAAATACGTTTGTGAGTCCATACATTACGTGTGATGGTCTAAACCGACTGTTGCTCCATCGTTTGCTATTGAGAGCGTAAAATATCATCCTCTGGTTAGGGTTGAGCCTACCTTCAGTTTGCCTACATAATCCTATAATAATTTAATAGCACAAAGCAGCTTAGCGCAATATACGCATAAAATCCTTAGTTAAATCTGATGCGCAATAAATATGTTGCATTAGCATAGCTTCATACCGAAAGAATCCTGGCCGGAACGTCTTTGGGCTTTCGAGCGCTTCCGATACCGCAAACACTTCCGTTGAATGTTATTTATATTGTAAAGCCAACATGCGCTTCTTTTTACCACTGGCGGCTTCACCGTCTGCCTCGTCCTTCGCTTCTTTTCTATGTTGGTCACATTATTACCCACAACGTTTTCTGCAAGGCCAATAATACGTCGACTCTATAAGATATCGGTTTTTTCCTATGCTGTCTTTTGAACTTGCTTCCATTGTATGTATTCGTTGCTGAACTTGAAGAACATGTTTAGCTTTGACAATTGTGGTACCTTTTCACTGCAGCGTAAACATAGTAGGATGTTCGATTTATGAAGCTTCGCTGATAACGCTTTCGTAGGATTAAGTAACCCTTTCGAAATAACGCGGATTATTTTCAGAATATATCATCAGCATTAAGCTGACTATATTAGACACTCCAAGTGTAGTTCTGCAATTAATTATTTGGAAATAGTACGCCCTCCATGTCACGGGATTGTTACGAGACAAAAAAAATTAAGTCCAACTTAGTTACTCGTTCAGATGGCCGTCGGGCCAACACGCGAGAATATGTTGTAATGCTTGCTATTTAAAACTTACATTCCGGAGCTTGTCGGAGTTTCCACATATTTATCTGTCCACCGGAGTACTTCAAGGTCTTGCGCGCTGCCCCTGAAAAAGTAGCGTGGGGTATTCTTGCGTTCCTGAAAACTTAGTGGAGTAAATAATATTATCGCAACTTACACAAATGCCAATAAGGCAACACAGCATTAATATTCAAAACGTCACTCGAAGTTGTTCATAAGTAACTTTTTAGCACACACGAATAGTAGTTAACTGGTATAGTTCCTGACGCTTGCTAATATTATCCACGCTATCGTATAGGGTCGTCGCTATTTGACTCACGTCGCTTAACCGAGCATGACGTGTAAATAAATACAGAAACGCCTCTATTACTGGCAGGTTCCATCTTCATACGAGTGGGGCATATCTTATCCGCATCTAATTGGTACCATAAACCAACCTTAAATCTCTTTAGTGATCAACCATCGACCTAATGCTTTCAATATTAGATTCACTGTGTTTATTGTGTAAGTGCTGCATAACTTCAATGAAATCCAATTGCCCGTAAACCAATATGATACGGGTAGCTCCAGACATGTCCAGTCTCAACGAGCTTACTCAGATACATTGAATGATCACATAGAAAATGATTTGTTGTACACGTCACCGCTATTCGTATTTGCTTGGTTTCGGGTAGCTGAAATCGTAAATGTGGTCCTCACTCAAAAAGGTACTCACCTATCAACCATTTCGGTGCATGAATAAAAAAGCTGGTTTGCAGAGAACGTCTACGTTATGGTCTTGGTTCTGATTTATAAAACCTCATACGATCTTGTGGTTTGTAGCGCGAGTATCAAAACTTTTTAGTGAAGATTTAGTGAAAGCTAATAATCTGTTTCCCAACCGACTTTTGGAAAATCCGTGAAATATATATGTACATGTAGGGAACAAAGCGAGCTGACAGACTGAGCTTATTAAGGCGTGTTATTTGGGCCACCTAAGTATAAAAGTAGAGCATACATTATATTACCGCTTAGCTCCCATACTAGAAGCTGCCCCGTTGCGGAACACATTGACCTGTTTTGTAGGATGCAACCTAAGTGTGTTCATCTAATACAATACCTACAGTTTTACGCAGCATGCCATACTTTGGCTGCTGAGTATCGAGCTGGATGACCTAGGGTAACTATTACTCCTCCCGCACATCTCTGTTTCACGTACACTAATGCCTATACACGTCTTCTAATAGCTAAGCATACGCATTTAACTCTGAACTTAAATTAGCCTTACTTCATTTCCATAACTCATGTTCTATGTGTAAATCATTGGTATGATGATATGTTTTGGATGTGTTTCAAATATGTATTTTCATTCAAGGAAAGCTTTTTTCAAACTACATTAAATACAGGCACTTCGTAGAAATATAAATTCGGGTTGCGGACGGACAGAGGGAAAAACATCTAAATATAGGCTTATCGAAATGTAGCGAGTAGCTGCATGTTTTCGTAACATTGCGGTTTACCAAACTTCGTTGATGACTACATAATATCTCCAGTCGTGCAAAGTTCTCAGCGCCCTTGTCAGCTACGTAGACGGCTCGGTTCTCGAGCTCGAGATTCGACAATGACTGGGTGTTACTCTGTCAGAGAACACTGACAAACGATATTCCTACATGCTCCCAAGTTGTTTTCTCAGATATCATCGAATGTCGTCAATGTATAAAAGTGAATATTCGGAACAGATAATTAATTTGGATTCTTCACACATCTAGGCCCTTCATTTAGAATGCTAAAAGCTCAATTCTGAAGATCGATTTATTACAATTCTATCTAATGTTAGCGTTGGTTTAGTCATCAATGTCTCCAAGTTGATCCGTTTCAATCGAAACGGTGCAATGTCTTTACTCCCCTCTAATGAAATAGCGCACTTCCTTTTCCTTTTAAAGTCTAATCGGCTGTTATTGATTTCTTATTGTGTTCCTTTACAACCGTATAGACACGATCGAACCTATTTCGTGCTGAACCAGACCAGCAAGGAAAACGCAAGACGATACAGGGAAAGCTGTGATCTTTCCTGGATCGAGTATTTAAGCAGCTCTCTTACCTCTTGTGTTAGGATCGAGTAAATCTGAATGAAGAAGTATTTCGGGCCAATGAGCGTCTTCGGGATCGGTCACAGGGACAGGCATGCACTTCATCAACTCTTCGATATTTCACTTCGTGCTTTCTTCCATTGTAAAAGCCACAATCGAATTACTCGAAGATGTATATTCACTGTTATGGCAAATGTTTTCTGCCTTGTTGGCTACTTCCGCAGCTCGAATCCAATAACGTCATCGTTAAAAAAAAAACAAACTTCTTAATTGTTCCTATCTGCCAACTCGTCAGAGGACTTTAAACGTCATTGTGCTCTAGGGCCGCCTATTTCAATCGTATGTTATTGCTACCAGCAATACTGTAAACGTTCGATAATGCTTTGCAGTTTGCGTTACAACTGAACAAGCACGCCATATAATCTGAGAGGAAATTTAATTTCCTTGTTTGCAACGAAGGGACTGCAACAAGTAACCTTCAGTTCCAGACTAAAGCAGTAAAGCTTTTTAAGAGGTACAAAATCACAGTGCGCACTAAAAACATCCTCCACCTGCAGAGTGTGCTTATAATCTGTATAACAGGGTAGCGAAATCAAATAATAATCCGTTGAAAAGCAACATAATTTACTCCTGTATGTATTTCTCTACGATATATGTACAATCTGTTTACTCATCTTCGCTTCTTGTATCGGAGAGAAAATGCCGTTGCATTGCGAAAGGCTCCATTACCTCTCAGCTGGATCATTTGAACCCCCTCATTTATTTCACCCCGCTAAGGTTAAGTTGAAGGGCGTTTGCCCGCTTTTGTCGTTGTTCCGTATTTGCACAGCATACACAGCACAACAAATTCTTAGCGATGACTCCTTCTCTTGCGTAACTATCGACGAAAGTATTGCAACGGATGCAGTCCCCTCGTAGTACCGCTGCTGACCGACTCCCCTTCCCCCCGCCCGAAACAACGTCCGAATGCGGTAGCGTCGACACCATTGATAGTGGCGAAACCATCGGAAATGGTAACAGATATATTCAGCCGCAATAACTCATTCCATACGGCCTGCTATTATCGATCCTACTTTTGCAACTTTTTTTTTTATCATGAAATAAATGATCACACTCTTGATTTACTTGGCGGTGCTCATTTATTGCGTCAAGATTTTCACTGGAAAGATAACAAAACGCGGCCCTTTCGCCTGCGATAGCTGCAACTAATTAGTGGGTACTTACTAAAAACAAGTGGTATTGACCATTTTGATGTGAATGAGCCATACGTTCAACGATGCAAACTGAGTTCGATCGATGTCCTAGATGAGGAAATAAGTTTTTGCGCAGGCTGAGTCCAAACGCTTAGACTTGGATCATCATGTCGATACATCGTTGGCCGAGAATAGTAATATGCATTTAAACTAATCGCAATATCAATTAATCGCCTATGTTATTTGAACGCATTCGGTAAGACCATATTCGGCTGCATGCACTACTAGATGCAATCCTAAAAAAGGACGAAGGACGGCTATCCGCTACTTAGAAGAAGTGGTCCCTGTGACCAGCGGCTGAAAGCGGCCGTCTCTAGAAAATCGATGCAAACTATCTATTTTACTAAAACAACAGCATCTGGGGTCTTTAAGAGTCAATGTATTACATTTCATTCTCTAAGCTCTGTATCGTAGGCCATCTAACAGGCTAAATACTCTCCAATCTGCTGTACGTTGGACGAACCTTGGCTTCATAGGTCAGGATAGTGGAAATTCAATGATGGCAGAGAATGAAACTACGTAAAAGCTTCAATACACCATTTATTAGATGGTTGTGTACATTTTTAGTTTCCGTGTTTTTTTTGCGAGCATTCATTTTTTACGAAAAAAAAAACAGTCTGTGTAATTAAGATATACTTCGATGAAAGTCATGGTTTGCCTAGACTTTTCATAATAAAGGTTCGATTCCTCGGGGAAGGAACGGTATATTGTCTCTATCAAATTGCTGACGAAATCATTGTTCGACTTGGCCAAAATTTGGACAGCACGTATATATCGTGATATTTGTTGAGAATACTGGGAATACGCATCAGCATTAGTCAGTAGCAAGAGAAATTTCTGGCCTTACTTATGTTGTTTTGTTGTTAATGTTCGGTGTTTCCTAGCTTTTATATCTTACAGTAAACCATATCCTTGAGGGTCAATGTTACAACTGGTCGGTGTGTCTAAAGCTGTATAAAAATGTATATGCACGTCTTACTGACTGACTTGTACAGTCCTTGGAAAGGTTTCGTAAAAACCTCATGCAAATAATGTGTGGCATTAGTCACTGTTGCTGATTTTTAATTTGTCTTTGCCAATTCCTGATATCATCTAATATCAAATTTATGTACAGTTGTTACTCCTAACCTGAATCGTGCGTGACAATGTTTATTTCCCATTATAGTTACTTTCGGACTAAGGATGTGTGAGTTCTTCTCTCGTTTATTAGAAAGATATAAAATGCCGCCGCGAGACAACAGCTGTCGCCAGTGTAGCAGATTGTATTCGTCGTCAGTGTGGTCAATTAGTGAATATTTGGCCCTTACCTTGTTACAAAAGGACATCTATAGGTAACAAAGATTCCAGAAGGACTATGTCTGGTACGCAGCGCAACGTTCTGATACGATGAGGTCGAACCTGCTACTGACGCAGGGCTCGCAATGTCATGTCAGACAAATAGGCGAAAGGACGGTAGACTACAACGCTTTGTAAGTTCAATCTTGTATCGATATCTGTATCAGTATCTCATACATGTCGTGCACGACTAAACTCATTCAGAAGCATCCGGCTGTACGATCATGCAAGGGTGAAGTATACGGTGAACTATGCACGAAGCAACTGGCAGATGGGAAGTCTATAGAATAAAGTTAGATCCGGCGTCAGGACGTGTGTGTATCGGTTGAACACGTTCGCATAATATCCACTCTACACTACCCTTCATCCTAGTCTACGTAGTTTATGAATCCGTTATATCTACATAGTACAACTACCTAACGACGTTGCCTAGTTGCTGCCACTCGATGTACTGTCTTTTAACTACCATGACCAACTGCGAAGAATTAGTACCTTTCTTCTACTTCCCTTCGTCATAATTGTTCGTGAGACCCATCCACGATCAGTGATATGGGCGTGAGGTTGGTGCGCACATTGAAAACAGATGAAAGACGGACAAGAGGTTTATTCCGCCGCAAAACGACAAGTGCATAAACTTATAGTATGCCAAGAAATTCGTTTCCATGGCAATAAAAATTAGTGCCGGGCGCGCTGACCAGGGAGGTTATTATCGTATGGCGGCCGCACGTACAGTTGACTGATTCGCGGAATTGAGGTGTGATACGGTGAAGCACCAACAGCGCTGCAGTGAAGGAGATCTGGCTGCGATTTAGCCAAGTAAAATTTGGCCTTGGCATGGACTTTGGTTGGGGTTGACCAATCTAGTACTCCGCAGCAGGTAGCCGCCGCTAAACTAAATATACGGCCTACGCTGGCCAATCTAGATGCAGGTACAAATCGGTGATAAAGGTTAGCCGTTAGCAAGCTACCTGGTCAACTGGTGTAGAGCAGTTAAGCACGTTACCACCAACTCAGCGATTATTTCATTAGAAAACGTGATGGAAAAGTGTTTTGTTAAAAAAAAAAAGCGTTGCCTAGAGCAACCGATGTGTGGGCTGGAAAGGTAACTTATTTGCTTCAAAATCACCTCGCTACGCGCGAAATGGTGTGCGAGGCCAAGCACGAAACGAGGGCATTACGGGTCAAATTCGCTGAAAGGAATCTCACACCTCGCTTTGGTCTTTACTTTAAAATTACTACCGAAAATCGAAATTACGTCATCTCCTTTTGAACGTACAGATTGCATGCTAAATGCGCGGGCGGGCGGCACAAACATGAAATGATTTTGACACTTCTGAAAAAACAATGGCACTTTTTGAGCCGAATCGGATTTTCTCCATAGCAAATCGTACAAGCTGATAATCGAGTTCAACCTTCTTCAGACTAAAATGATCAGTCGACATACTGAATAACGCGTAAACGATTCTAAAAATCCGTTTTGAGAGAACTGGTGTATTACATTGAAGTCGTACAGGAGAGTAACAAGGTATCAGCGAATGAAAACACTGCGGCGTACTTTTAGGGTAGCGGCTTGGCAGTAAGGACGTCTTGTGGACATGTGATCAAATGTACCTGAATCAAAGGCTCATGAAAGATATTTACTACAGATAAAATGCTACTATCGTGAACGCATCACTTGGTCATTCACTTGCCTACTCCTAACCATTTCGCTCTCATAAGATGGTGATTTTTTTTATTAATACTTCATATTAAATACCAAGCAAAGTCTCTCTTGTAGGCATTATGTATTAATATGTGTAATATTCTTCAGTGCTCATTACATACATTGTTATGGCGGCACACACTTGCACACCAAGAGACTTTAAAATTGTCAGAAAATATTAATAGTTTCTATCATCAAAATGAATATTAGTTTTCTACGCGAATCTCTACATATTATAGAGAAAATAAAATGGACAGGCTTCCCGTACAACATCGGTACTGTGAACTAACTTATGATGATTACTTACGGATCCGTTGATAGCAGGTTTATGACAATAGTTTTCTCTAGTTCGAAGACGACTTGGAACGTGCGTTTTGACTGATAAATAAACTAAGTTATTACCGAAATGACTGCCAGGAAAGAATAACGTTCGGCCCATAGGTGCAGATACACCGATCTGAATGCATTGCTAAGATCAGTGAGAAGTTAACTAAACTTCGCGCTCAAGACAAAGGCTTCTAAGTGTACATACGATTGAATTTATTTAAATCGCAAGCACAAAAATGGGCCTGAGATCAAGGCCTAGATGAGGACAGAAATATCGAAGAAAGGACAACTGTCCAAGCAAAAGCCAACAAGACCCTTAACTTGGGATTTTACCAGTGTGGAACTGAACGTCGCATTGTCCCCTAGTGACGGCCACGAAACTGCCGGTTTATCTAGGCCTGCAAAAAATCCTTGACTAATCGAACGGCTTTTTTTATAGTGGACCACTTGGCCACGCTAGCCCTGTAAGGGCACATCGCAGAAGCCCTAGGGCTGAACAAGTGAGTGAACCAAGTAAATGAAGAGAAGACAAGTCCCTTTTTGGTATCAGACTCATCCGAAAACTATTAGCAGCAACGGCACTATCATAGGACATGAGTGTATTATCAAGTTGAAGCTCTACTGCCGACCCGTAGTGAACAATTGACGACTAACAGAAGCGGCAAACGACAAACGGACAATGTGAAAATTCAATTGAATAGAACGCTGGGATAGTATAACGAAGATAAATGAGCCAAATGAGATCCTTGTCAGTACAATTGAGATCAAGAAATAAAACAGATAAATGTATCCATATCTATATCTAGAGCCCACGAACACGTACAGGGGCAAACTATTATGTTAGTAACCAGAAGGTGATAAATGCTAGTCATTTACCGGCCTCAATGCAAACGAGAGTTTTTAGCAAACAGAATTAGACGCCCGTAACACCTGTTTGTGCACCTTTGTCATTGGATACAGTCAGTGCAGGCCTTTAAGGATTCTTTATGGCATATTATGTACCTCTGACAAATTGGATGGACTGACGGATAAATTATTCAACGACGTGAACTATTCCCAGCTTCGGTAGGGTATTTCTGGGTCTGGGCTTTCTCTAGTGAGGAGAGCAAGTCTGGAGAACATGTTCCGTAGGTGCAGGCACCTCAGAAACGGCTTGGTGCTAAATAGACACAAACGCAAATAAGGACTCCCAGTAATCGGCAGGCAGTCCTTCGCCACGAGCACGCCAAACTGAAAAACATAGGGGCACCCACTATGGTATGGAAGTCGCAATTGTTTCTGTGTGAGACTAACTATATCGTTAGTTTCATATATTACCCCAGGTCTGACGGCGTGAATTGCTTAAAAAATTCGTTTGGAAACAAGGAAACCGGCCGGCGTTCCGAAGACTTAGGATGGTCCTCCTTTTTGCTGGTATATTAAAACTCTATGATTCGGCTAAATCTGTAATATATCTTCAGTTGACATCCTAAAGCAGGACTCTGGCGCTGTGTTTCTGCGGAAAGCTATGCCCGCTGTACGCGCCAGCTAATCAGACAGTAAAATTAGACACAAACTGTCACACAATTAGACACAAAGAATGTTGGTCATAATGTTCGGGTTACTTTTTTCATTATTTCATTTTTGGATAAAAATAACTACCAGTCAAATCGGATAATGGAAAGAGGCATAAAGAATACTCTGTATCAAGTTCCGATGCGTTTGTAGCGTATGCGTCTAACTATTCAGAAATATGGCGGCGCGGAGCTTATATATAGAAAAGAACCTGATGGCCGTGACTATCGCTTGCGCAACGAAATCCACTAAAAATGCAGCCACGAATGTTGCAAAAGATATGAACGCCCACGCGAAAAATAATAATGCGATTTCAGAATGTCAGGGGTCTGACGAAAGGGGGAGACATGTTTCAATAGCTAGTTAATTGCTATTAATAGCATGTTTGAAGGCTGCGCCGTTATGAGACTGAACTCGCCCACTTCCTATATATTTCTATGGCGATCTCCGTGGAGCCTCGAGCCGAAAGTCGGTTAAGAGAAATTCTTAGTATTCAAACGCGCTGTCTTTACTATAGTGAATTATACGTATAATAGAGGTTACTAATGCGCCTGATCTGTCTAGTTGTATTCATGCAAACGATCGCAGCTGCATAAAGCCCCCGCAGAGGGTAAAGGAAATATAATCACGTGCAGGACGTGCCGTACACTAACTGGAAATGACGAACGACACCGACTAACACGCGAAACAATACACTGCATGCCAGAAATATCGATCACAAAACACAAGGAAGCCTATGCTAATGAATGAAATAGTCGATTTGTTATGACAGGCCATTAGCCTTTTCATTGTACAAGGTAAAAAGATTCCCAGTTTCCATGAATACCTACAATGTTTATTGAAAGATCGTCCTGAAATGGTCGCGCTCTTCCAACCCTCTAGCACTTTGGCCTGCCGATACACGCAAACAATAAGCCCCGGCTTGTTTGGGTTATTTGAAGATCCAACAATGTAAAACAGCGCTTAACGCAGTACCAGGCGTTAAGCACAAAACAATAATTTGATTTTACTGATTCAAATTCGACCAAATCATACTCGTTTGCACCATGGCATGGTTTGCTCCACAGAATTAGAAATATGTCTCTGGAGTATCTTAACGATTCACCGATAAAGACGCTAGTTAATTTGAAAGGATTACGCAGAAAAGGGGCCGCTAAGATCCGTCACTAACAATATCAGTTAAGTGATATATTAACAACAATAATAAAGGGGTAAAAAAAAAACTGTAAAACATTTCAACTAACAATCATATAGGGTACGTGTTTCCGTAATTCGATATAATAACAGAAAATTGGTGAAATATGGTTTGTATAGGTCATAAGAATGCCATTTCACTCATAACGCTGCGAAATCCAACAGTACGTCCGCGTGGCCTAAATAAAACTAAACACTGCACTGGGTGCAGCTCCGCGCCAGTTGATTCACCCAGATGACCTTCTCCAAAATCTTGGTTTCTAGGGCCTTGAAGCCTTGTCTATATTCACTAGTCAACTTGAGTTGTATGCGTACACTGTTTATGACCATGTTTAAGCAAATGTCACACGACTCCTTTACTTATAAGCTTACGTAAAGTCATTCATTTGCCAATAGGCCTCAGTTCATTGTAGAAAATAACGCTTAGCAGCCCTTCGAGGACATTAGCAAATATTGTAACGTTTAGTAATTTGTTATAAGGTCAGTTACATATCAATTGTGGAGTTCCGTATGTTTTGGCGTAGTTACGTTTACTCCTGAGCGCCGCTTGTGCAAAATAGTTTCGGAAAGTATTTTTTTTCTCACCTTTGCGTTTTGCTTTGCGGAGCTTTCTTGTTTCCTGAATCTGATACAATCGATCGCCTCAGAATCATTTACCGAAGGAAAAGCGCTGCCAGCCATAATGTTGGTGTCGTGTGCGTCCGCTGCGTCTTCAGATTCATGTTACGTTATTACGGTTAGTCGGCACAAGTTGTCTTGGTTCAGTTTACGTTTTTCTCTGCTGTTGCCTTTCATTGTTGAGTTCAGGTGAACACCTTACTACTGCCACTGCCCACATATACAATCTACTGATTCCCCCGTCGGCTTTGAAATGATGGTAAAATAAGTTGGGATATCGAATAGACACTGCTGTGTAGAGGTCTTGCACTCTGGAGTTTCTGCCAGGTATAGTCTTCTTGACGAAACATATTCACTAGAACTATATTTACTGAAATTGCCTACCTACCTGAATAATTAGAACCGCGTGCACAATTTCGAAATCGACTCGTATTCGCTTCTCAGATTTGCCCAGTTTCACAACCCACTATCACTACTTGTAGATAGCTGAAAACCCACTTAAAGACCAAATTCTTCGCGAATATATTTGCTTCTAAGCAGCATTGTGTGACTTCCTTGAAAAGTTTTACACTTTGGTTGTAGATGCAAATTAACTATTCGACGCACGTAGTAACACGTCCGAACACATGATTCTGCCATGTATAAGATTTCTTTGATCATTGCTGCCAGGTATTCATAAAGCGTGACAGCAAAGGCCACAGAACATTACGATAACGCCTAGCAAACTTCGTTGTATCCTTTTTTTGAAAATCGAATGGGTTTTAGAAAGCAGCCTCGAAAGTAACTCTTTCGTTTCACCATACGCGAGACGTACGAAACATACGAAAGCTTGCTTTGTATAAAGCAAGCTTTTGCTTGGCTTAATAAGACTCATCTACGAATCTGTTCGAGATGCTAGAAGCCCCGTAGGTATCCGCGAATTCAGGCTGTCGAGGGCATGGCACCTGACTGCCTTCGTGGCTTAATCCTACGACCTAATTGTACCTCGTAAAGAACATGCGAAATCGTTAAAAAGATAATAATACCATAACGATAATAGAGTGAACCGCGATAATGCAGTCGGCGTACACAACAATAAGAGAATGTACAGAAACGGTTGCCCCTTGCTGCTGCTTAGGGGATACAAAGCAAGGTTCCATCAAATTAAATAGAGCAAAAGTTAGTGTTTTACCCTTCTTTTTCTGTATTTACTTGGAAATTTTGTTCCATTCTAAAAAGCACTGTTGCAGATTTTATACAAGATCACATTTTGGATGGCGATCTATAAACAACTCTTCTGGAACAAAGCCTGCTTTATTGAAAGGAATTTTTAGTTTGTCATCTTCTCCCATACCCAAAAATTGGCGTAAGCTGATTGACATCATATAGATACGCGTTTGTATTAGAGCACACCTGTAATAGATAACGATAGATATAGGTGTACTACGTGCTGGAAAGATCGGATAAAGTCGATTTTCAAAATAAGCTTCTAGTTAGGCTAAAGGCAAGGCGATCAGATAGGCAGAGCTATCGGGAGGAAGACTTGCAGGTCACACGAATGGCACCCGTTTACATGAATAAATAGAAAACTTTTATGAAGCGTACTTATACCGACGAAGTGAAAACTTAACTTGGGTCAGGCCTGAGCTTCTTAATAAGGGTATATCTTTATCGACTAATCATTTGCAATCGTATCTAGACACCTTAGTAAAACCCTTAAGCACTTCTTGCCCATAATCTCGGAACTGGCTCCAAGCGTTTCCTTTCCGATATTCAGTCTAGTGAATACAGTTACCTCTTCAGCAGTAAAAAGCATCCAGTGAAAAATACCCTTGCACCACGACGTAGGGCAGCTCTAGTCTGTTAAGTTGTAAACCCTAGAGGATAACCTTGAAGATCGCGAAGGAGAGTTGATGGACCAGCCGTGGCCATGGAAGTTGTCGCAGCTTGCATTGAGAACTGCAGCGAACACGAGTGCCAGTATATCTTTAGGAAGACACAGCGTCCCCAAACACACCTTCGTATGAACATAGTAAGCTACTAGATTTACTCCGGTATTAATCTACAGCAAAGAGGATCAAACGAAGAGGCGGTGATGTTTTTGGATCTGAACAGCTGGTAAACGATTTTTTTCTCATAGATACTCCAGTATCGAGAAACGAGCTGTGTCAAGTGAATATCATTGAAAACGAATTTCTAGATTAAACATTAACGCACAGTCGACACACACATACGCACATAGAGAGAAAGCGAGAGAGGGAGAGTACACAGCCCCAATGCGGAAAAAAACTAATATGTTACAAACTATACTACGTGATAAATAGTCAAATCTAGGAAAAAATTGATAATCTAGCTAATTAAAACTCATAAAATGCACTAAAGTTGAATCGCTATATTAAATGAGCCGTCGGACAAAGAAACGGTCGACTACAATTCAGTAAATTTTGAAGAAGACAACGCTGTGAACAAAAACTTGCCGTGGAAGCTCCACATCGTCAAGGGCGACGCGCGACTACCCATGAGAAAGCAAATGTACTATTACAAAGATGTGCAGACCAGACTTCAGTTTTAATCGTATCTGTTCCCTTAGACTATGCAGGGTTTTTTTAGACCATTTCATTTAGACCATTCATTGCCGGAAAATACTTTGCCAAAAAAGGACCTTGCGTATAGAAAATCAGGCACATGCACTGTAGAATATAGTGTTTACCGTAGCGTAGAGAAATTATTCGAGCGAGCGTAGAAAGCGAATTTCGAAACGCCTATAGAAGTGCCGTCGGTTTCAAATAGGCAAGCCTTGATCTACCCTTTTTTCCACTACGGGGCCTCTGCTTAAGGAATGAACAGCGACAACGAAATCAAATGTTGATATCTGTTTCGCCACCTACGCCACAGCGTTAAGAATAAATGATACAATTTGTCATACATAAAGATAGAGAGGCTATAAAAACCTACTTTATGCGAGCGTTTTATATAGTCTACCGATAATATGCGATCTAAGTAAAACGATACTGATTATTGTCGTATTGTTGGCAGAGCTTGAACTTTTTAAATGCATGATAGTTTTAAAAGAATACGTTATTTTAATTACCTATAGAAGAATAGCTGTTTCCTGTAACACTCCTTTTCCAGGATCGATACTGAATTCAGGCTTTAGAAGAAAGCTCCGAATGAAATGTCAACCAGCGAGATATAAAGACGTGTATCAAAGGCTTCAATTTGTAGGAGACATGGATATCAGATGCAGAGCCTGGGTTGAACTCCTAGCTAATGGTAAATCACGAACAAATACAGTAAACCGCAGATTGAGACTGACTCAAATACGTAACACGCTAAATTCGAAACTTCATACAGGCTTCTAGAAAACTGCCTAACTCATTTCATCAAGGCGGCCTGCTAATCGCCTTTTCGGGAAAGAAGATATCATTAAATACACAAGTACTTTTTCTTTCATAGCAGACTTCTACTGGACAGTCTTCTATTCTTATCTTGAAGCTTCCATTAAGCTCATCTGCGCAGAATTGTCTAGGAGTACGTTTCATAAGCATAATATCAAGTACATGTGACGATGCGCTGGTTGTAAATGACGTTCCCTCCGTGACAGTTCAATGCATCGGTTGAAACACAGCAAACATCCCGAAGGGCTTAAAAGAACTCGGAGCAGGCTCTCGTTTTTGCGAGGGTAGAGTCTATGGGATAATCCTAAGAGCGATAAGAACCTATTTTCAAAATACGTTTATGTTTCGTAATTTACTCACGTTCATGTACTCCAGTAACTTCAAAAACAAAGTGTCTTCATTAAGCTTTTTTTTTATAATAGTTAAAGTAGTATGCTCCTAATTCATCACCTTGAAAAGCGAGTACAAGGAATTGTTCAATTAAGTTTAAGAGCTACAGAAATATCTTCAGTGAGGTCCAAGCATGCATCTTCATATACTATGAGCGAGGGCCTTCTGCAGTCTTATGATGTGATTTTTATATTTCAATATCTTAACTTTGTCACAAAACTGATTACACAGCCATGTAGACCATGTAGCCATGGAAACATTTGCATATATATATATATATATATATATGTATCTTCATTTGGCTTGATGACCCTGCCTGATCTCTTGCCAAATATCATCTACAAAACTGTATCTGATTAGTGAACTTTGTCATCTGCTAGCTCATCGTATCTAGTATTATGACCGTCTTTCAAGTCAGCATGGCCTTAGACATTTCACATACTGGTATGACACTGGTGATTTTGGTGATTCGTCACGCTTATTGTCTAACAGATGTAACAGAAATGTCCTACACAGCACTAATACAGATATTAAAAGTCCCATTTGACCTTATCGTTGGGCTAACAACTCTTACTTGTGTAATCTCTGATTGCTTCTGGCTGGGCGCATCTTGTCTGTTTCTTAATCCGTTGTAGCCTGTAGAGCGCACGAGCTTTGCCTGGGTGTCGTTCGGTTGCAAATACACTACATCCGACCTTACTTCCTGCTAGTCTTCAGGAATCTGAAACTACAAAAGTGTTTAAAAACTGCTAAAAAGGACAAAACCGGCAGCTTCAGAAATATGTTCTTCTAATGCCGTTTTGCCCCCACTTACCACTGTGTTCAATGAACTAATGAGTGTTTTCAGCGGCATTAGGGCTACGAATCTCAATGGTTCTGCTTGACTTCCTGCAATGTACTGCACCAGGACTACAGCATGGCCAGACAAAGTTGAGAAAAAGGAGGCTGCTTATTTCATCTATCAGCTCAATAGCCGCGATATCTAAAGAGGCAAAGAGAAATGAGAAAAAACGTAAATCAACAGCGAAGTTTACCCTAGTCAGGAGTCGCTAGACGAGGAAATTAAGTCTCTAGAAATAGAAGAAATAGGTTATTTTATTTAGGTGGTTTGCTTGTGTCTATTATATAATGGCCCTGCTTATACTTAAATATCATACATCTAAAGTTTTTATTATCATATATTGTGTAATATCTTGGGTAGTTAGCAAGACCTGGAATAGCCGTTTTCTGTTACTAAGCGGTATATGCATATGTATGTATATAGTTCCACTTCCGGTCGGCTTGGGATATATAATACCCTTCAGACGGCCGGTTAGTCATTAGCGGTGAAACTTTGACATCACTGTACATGTCGTAGCAACTTAGTGGAATCGGGAGACGACAAAATGGACGATATGGTTCACCAACTTTTGAAGAGTTTGCAGTAGGGACAAGGGCCCTTGACTTCGATGGCAGTCAAATGACCATGTCGCTGAAGGGAACTGCGCGTCTGGCAGTGGACCAGCCGTATTGCCACGACCAATGTTGGCTTTGCTCTGGTCCAGTACGACCTAAAGATCGTGTCCGAGCTCTTGAAGTACTTCAAGAGAACTTTATGGCCGAATTAGGGCCGGGTCGTAATCAAGTATGCTGCTACTCTGCCTGACACCAAGAAGCCTACACTTTCGCTGCTTTCGCCGGACTCCTTCGGAGCGTCGAGTCGCACAACACTGATCGAGGTGACTCATTCTATAGGACGGAAGATAACGAAGGGAGTCAGCCTTCATCGGTCAGGTTTGGTGCTCCAGGTAGATAAACCGAAACGTCGTTATCGGTGCAGGGTTTAGTAGCACTTTTAAGCAAGCTGTCCACGCATGCGACCGAAGGGCTCCAGATTTCGTAATGTAGAACGCCAGCTGACCGATTCATCGAAATGGATGTCCCAGCGGAGC